ACCCGCTTCTTGCACCCAGTTCTTGCACCTGCAACTTGCATTGCACCCACTTCTTGCACCTGCTTCTTGCACCTGCATCTTGCATTGCACCCTGCTAGCACCCACTTCTTGGACCCAGTTCTTGCATTGCACCCTCACCCACTTCTCACACCCGCTTCTTGCACCCTGATCTTGCATTGCACCCTGCACCCACTCCTTGCATTGCACCCCGCCTGCACCTGCTTCTTGCACCCAGTTCTCGCATTGCACCTTGCACCCTGCCTGACCCACTTCTTGCACCTAATTTTGCACCCGGCTCCTGCATTGCACCCACTTCTGGCACCCAGCTCTCACACTGCACCCTGCACACACTTCTTGCACCCAATTTTGCATTCTGCTCTTGCATTGCACCCATTTCTTGTTCTCATGTCTTGCATTGCACCCGCAGGTGCATCTTGCACCCATTTCTTGCGCTGCACCTGCAGCCGCATCTTGCACCCATTTCTTGCACCCATTTGTTGCATTGCACCTGCAGCCACATCTTGCACCCGTTTCTTGCACCCCTTTCTTGCATTGCACCCTCCCTGCACCCAATTTTGCACCCAGTCTTTGCAATGCTCCTTGCACCCTGCCTGACCCGCTGCTTGCACCCAGACCTTGAATTCACCCCGCTCCCTTCCTGCACCCGTTTTTGCACCCAGTTGTTGCATTGCACCCGCTTTTGGCGCCCAGCCCCTGCATTGCACCCCGCATCCTGCCTGCACCCAATTTTGCACCCAATTTTGCATCCAATTTTGCATTTTGCACCCAATTTTGCATTTTGCACCCAATTTTGCACCCACTCCTTGCACCCAGCCTTGCATTGCACCTGCACCCACTTCTTGCACCCTCTCCTTGCACCCAGTTCTTGTCCCCCCCTCATCCCAAACCCCAATTTCAGGCAAAAATGGGGGAGAGGGGAAGGAAAAGAAAAAAATTCCCAACCTGGCGCTTCCCACTCCCAGGGACCCTCCGGCTCCGCATCCCGACCCGCTTCCCGTTCGGATCGCGACGGTGCTTTTAAAAATAGCCGGCGCCGGGGCCGCGTTGCCAAGGGAGCGGCGGCAACAGCGTTCCCGTCGGGAAAGAAAGCCCCATCCCCAAATCCCAAGGAATTCCCGCAGGGGAACCGCTCCCATTCCCAGCTCCCAAGGAATTCCTGCAGGGAATGCTGCGCCCCAAGCAGTGAGGCCGTGAGAGGCCTCACGGAGGTTGAGGCCAAAGAGATTCCCGACGGAGTGGGACAGCGCAGCTGGAAAAGGAGGCCGAGCTCAGGGAAAAAAAAATGGGGGGAAATAGGGAAAAGGGGGAATTTGGGCTCCCAAAAAGCCCCTCACCGGGGCGGGCTAGTCGCCGTTGCGGAGGTCGCCGGCGCGGGCGCCTCCGGAGCACTCGGCATCCTTGGTTTTCCGCTCCATCTCTCCACCTTTGATCTTCTTCCGAGTCATGTGGCCGCGGAAACTCGCCTGGATCTTGGCGGCGGCCGCGTTGGCGTCGGGATCATCCAGGGGGATGTCCAGGATGTCCTCGTCCAGCTTGGGGCACGCTCCCTCCTGCGCACGGATACGGGATACGGGAAAAAACACAAGGAAGGGGCAACGACTCCAGCATGGACAATCCAAACGCTCCGCTTTGCCCTCGGCCTCGAGCATCCCGGCGGGAAAAATTCCCAGCTCCGAAGTGGAGCCACCCACGGGGCACAAGAGCCGAGTTCCCAATTTAGCGCTAGGGGCTGCAAAATCCTCCTTTATCCCTTATTTTATTTTTTTTATAGCTGGGGAGGGTTGGATAACCTTCTTCCCAGCTCCGTCATTCGGGATTGGGATCTGTCGCCGCATCCTTATTTTTTGGGGGGATGAGTTGGGGCGGGAGGGGGGAATAAATCAATCCCGCTTGGAGCAATATTGAATAAATCACTGCAGCTCACTCCCCATCCTGGCCAAATTTGGGGTGTGTGGAGGGGGTTAAATCCAGCGGGATTTATGGATCTGGGATGATTTTGGGGTACGGGGGTTGCTCTGCCCCCGCCGTGGCATGTAACGAAATCCGCCGGGCTCTGCGGAGCGGAGAAACCGGATCACTCGGAGGAGCGGAAAAAAAGGGGAGGGAAAGACCTGGCGGAGGTGTAGGGTGATCCCGGCTGGAAAATAAAGGAGGGGGGAGCTGTTTTATCCGGGATCGGTGGAAATAAGTATGGCCCGATATAGCCGTGCTGGACCTGTGCCCCCCTCCCGTGCCGGTCCGGATGCCGGGGGTGTTTTCCAGCGGATCCATGTGGATCTGGGGCGAGCCGGGAGGCTCCGGCGGGAAGGGAACGGAGCCGGAGGAGGGAAAAGCGGCCGAAAGTCCGCGCGTGGGTGGGAAGCGGGGAGATTAGGAAAAAAATAATAATAAAAATAGGGAATTTTCTGCTGGATCAGCCGCTGCCTGGGGGGGCTCCGCATGGTAAGAGTGGGCAAACCGCTCCCCAGGAAAAAAAAGGGGGTAAAATCCCAAATGGGATAAAGTAGGTGATTGCGGGACCCCGTTTTAACCACCCCCCCCTCCGCCTTAAAAAAACATCCCCCCTTTTCCATATCCCGAACGCCCGGAGCGCGGGAAGCGCGGGGCGGGTTGCGGGAAAGAAATTCCACCAAATCCCACAAAAATCCCTCAAAAATCCCCCCGAATCCCGCCGAATTCCCCCCGGGACGGCGCGGGCACCTA